GCCCAGTATTAAAGTCTATATTTTGAAATAGTATTACTGCTTTATAAGTTTTGAATGCTTAACTTTTTATATTATTTTCTCTGCTTTATGGTTTTGATATGTCTCTGACACACAAAATGTATCTGACCTGAAAATCTTTAGTTTCTAACTGACAGGCTTAGGAAGCCCTTTTATAAGAGATTATTGACATACTTGAATTTGTTTCTGCCATCTTCTTTAAGAAATTCTATTTGGGGTGTTTTTCTTAAGCTGTCTTTGGTTGGTTATATCATTATATTCTTGTCATAAACGCTTTTTCAGAATAGTTCAGGGCCTTGAGTATATACACCCTAACTCCAAATATGTTGCTTACTATCTGCTTATTATATGGTGGTGGTGGTTGTTGTTAATTACATGATATAATCATCAATATTTTTAAAATTCTATTTTTTTAATTTTTAAAATTCCATTTAAAATTTTTTTAATTTTCAGTTATAATACCACTATACTTGCATTATAATTGCTATTATTTAGTACAAATAAAACTTTAAATTTATTATATTCTTTACTCACCATTCTTATGTCTCAGATTATCCTGGTATCATTTGTATTCTTCGTAAAGCATATATTAGTGATGGAGTGGATTATGAGTTGGACTGCTAATCCCTGGTCAGCAGTTCAAAACCCCCAGCCACTCCATGGGAGAAAGATGAGACTTTCTGCTCTTGTAAAGATTTAAAGCCTCAGAAACCCACAAAGGCAGTTCTGTGCTGTCCTATTAGATCACCATGAGTCGGGATTGACTTGATTACAGTGAGTTTTGTTTGCTTTGTTTTGTGTTGTTGGAAAGAATATACCTTAGATAATTATTTTTAGTGAAAGCCACAACCTAAAACCTCAGTGGCTTAAGGTAATAGAAGATAATTTCTCATTTCAAGCAAATATTCCTAAAATGTGGCTCAGTGATTCAGGCTCTTCATCTGGTCGGTCCATTATCTCCAAGAACCCCTATCTCCAAGAACCCCTGAGTTCTCTGTTGAATCCGTTCACTAGCCGGGCAGTGAAGGAAGAGAAAGATAGTTCCGTGGTCTACGTAAAAGAAGGAATGTCACTTTGGCCCACATTTCCATGGTCTTTCTAGATGCCAAGAGGTCAGAAATGTAGTCCTTCCCATGGGACTAGGAAGATGAAACAAACACATGCTATTGCCTTTGCCACCTATGTCAAAGCCCATTGCCATTAAGGCAATTCTAGCTAATTTGACACCCTACAAGGCAAAGTGGAACTGTCCCAAGGGGTTTCTCAGGCTTTAATCTTTGTACTTTGCTCCTGCAGAATGGTTGAGGGTTCAAAGCGCGTACTTCAAGGTCAGGATCCAAGCTCTAGCCACTGTGCCACTAAGGCTCCTTTCGTCCTCTAGGTCCAGCTCAAAACTCATTGTCTTCCACTTGATTCTGACTCAGTGACCCAACAGACAGGTCCTCTGGGTAATTCATTATTTTCTCTAATCTGTTTTAAGAAAATGTCCAATTGTTTTCTCAATTTCAGTGTTGCTCTTGGAAGACTGCACTCAGTTTCTCACTCCTTTATAATGAATTTGTCTCAATGTGCTTCACACAAAGGATATATGTATGGATTGTGATAAGAGTTGTATGAGCCCCCAATAAAATGATTTTTTTTAAAAGGAATTTGTCTCCTCTGTGCTCAGTTTTCCTTTGCTACATTTAAACTTTCATTTATTCTCTCCATTGTTATTTCTATTTAAACAATTACCCTTTTTATTTTTAGGAATTCCTGGAAAGTTATTTACTAATCTGCATTTCCAATATGTGATGATAATCCTAGAAATCTCTTGTTGCTTGCTCATCTTTGTAATTCTGTGTTTTATTTCACTGAGCTTTCATACATGTGGGTCACAGTTCTCTAGTCTCTGGCTTCCCATTTCACCATCTCTAATTTCGAGGAGACTCTCACCTCTTACGAGTTTGGAGAGCTTGGAATGTGAATTTATTATTTGACTTTGTCTTTGGGAATCTTTACTTCGAAAAGGGAATACATACCTTTCTTCTGACAAAGTGTGCTGCTTCTGCGTCTGGCACTGAGGAGGGCACATAAACCTTAACTGAAGGTCTGGATTTAGGCGTCAGCTTTCAAGACAGCACTCCTGTCCTTCCCTCTCTTCGTCACTCCCAGGTGCTGCCTCAGCTTGCTTCGGCAATTGACAGGATCAAGGAACAGGAGTGGAGGGGTCTGAGGAGGATGTCCTTGGAAACTTCTCTACTTGCATGTCTAGCAATTCAACAAGTATGTTTTGTTCACGGTTCCAGATGTTTTTTTGCACAAGTTCTCTCAAAGCATCTAGTCTTGCACAATACTTCCAGCAGAAGTGAGATCTAAAAAGTTTTTAGTAACCCGTGTATCTTTGACTTTGAAATACTTTGTGCCTGTATTGTCAATGCTAAAGCTTGTTGGTTCAAGAAGTACATTTCCCTATGCTGCTTGATATGTACAAATTTAGTCAATAATAGAAATGAAATATGATTTTTTGTATGATTATGATTTATTATTATTTCTATACTCTGAAAAATTGATACTTAGATTAATACAAGTTTGTTTGGTTTTATTGAGTATTTCTTAGATAAAAGAGATATTTAAGCATTTGTTGAGTAAAATACACAGTTTTCTGGGATGGTAGCATCCTGAATCTTTCTGGCTCACTTTGGGGTAGGCTGTTGCTAAGACCTTTTGTCAACCTTTCCTTTCCTTCCCTGGGAAAGTGTGTAGATCTTTCTCAGATAAACAGGTTTCTGTCTGTTGCCAGCTCTGTATCAACACCATAATGAGTAGAGGCTCTTTATTCTTACTGAACAGAGTGGAAGCTCTTTCAAACTCATGCTGTTAACAAGTGCTTAAACATACAGTTCATGAAATTGGCGAGGTAGAGCTTGCCAAGTCTTTAATAGAGAGGCTTTTACAACTGGAATAGAGACCTTCTCAGATGACCCTGTTTGCTGGTTTGGTTTATTTTACTAGAAAATGTCATAAGCTCATTTTGTTTTTCTGTTAATTACATATTTAATAAGAGCTTAGTTTCTTCAATTTATAAGATTTGCCAATGCTAGCTGGTAATTGAGATTTTGAAAGATGAATCAAAGAGCTTACAGTTACTTGTTTAAAGCCGTATTTGGTATTTTGGCTAAATACAGTAGAATTATTTGTCAGCCAAGGTTTCAATTTATTAGGTAACTGTAACGGAAGATTTTAACTAATGTTTTACTACATTTCTAGGAATAGAATAATGTTTTAGTAGCTGTTCATACTCTAGAAATCATGTGAGAAAATTTGAGTTGTTAGCCAGGGTATGTGTGTGGCTCACATACTCCAGCAATTTGCATCTATTGAATAAATATAAAAAACAGATGTCTGTACATTACCATTTTTATACTAGTCATACTATAAAAGTTGCTATAGAATAGACATATGTCATGTTATTATTTCTTACATATAGAGACCAAAGTAATGTGTCGAACACTTTAAAATGAGAGAAAACTATGAAATGATAATATTTTAAGGGATTTAGATGTTCAATAGTGGCCGTGTTAATATTTTTGGATATTGTTACAGTACAACTGGAAACCACTCAGAATTCTCCATGGTTTCTATGTAGAAATTTGCATTTTTCCTGCTTTTAATTTACTTTGGGGCAAAAAAATGACATGTTGCTTTAAGTAACAGCACAGCAACAGGGTGCAGAATGGTTTACCCTTTTTTATGAAAGCACAATGCATATTCAACTATTGAAATTTGGATGTTGTTTTATAAAAATTGTTTCCTGGGAACTTGCTATTAAAATTTTAAAAATAGTAAGCATTTTGTGAATTATTTTATAGGGTTAGTATTTATTAAAATTAAATGTCCTTTCATAGTTGCAGTACACATTAATTTGTGGTGTACAAATTGTTTTAATGTAATAAAATAGGTTTTTTAAATCTTCCCTTCTTTTAGTTTAGTTTTGTAAGTTTGAAATCTTGTTGATATAAATGTTTAATTTCACCCCAAAATGTTGAAGGTTATTTTTTTTGCCTTTTTCTTCTTCTTTTTTTATAAATCATTTTATTGGGGGCTTTTACAACTCTTATTACAGTCCATACATCAATTGTATCAATCACATTTGTACATATGTTGCCATCATCATTTTCAAAACATTTTCTTTCTACTTGAGCCCTTGGTATCAGCTCCTCTTTTTTCCCTCCCCTCTCCACCCTCATTACCCCTTGATAAATTATTAATTATTTTTATTTTCATATCTTACTTGAAGGTGATCTTTTAAAAATCAGTATGAAAGCAATTAAATGCTGGTCAATTGGTCGAGATTCCTAAAAGTTACATGTGGCATCCTTGTAGATACACAGCTGTAAGGAGTGAGAAAATCTAATGAAACACATAGTAAAATATTATTAGTGTTAAAAATTCTTGTAAAAGGGGTTAAAGTTTAAGACATTGTAATTCATTTTAATTACTCCATCTAATCTATATCCAATTCAGTATACAGTTTAGTATCATAGTAATTTTGACTGTCTAATTTATTTTTGGAACCCTGGTGACCTAGTGGATTATGAATTGGGCTGCTAACCTCAAGGTCAGTAGTTCAAAACCACTAGCAACACCAAGAGAGAAACATGGGGCTTTTTGTTTCCAAAGAGATTTACAGCGTCAGAAGCCCACAGGGGCAGTTCTACTTTGTCCTGTAAGATTGGCCTAACTCAGAATTAATAGACAACATTGAGTTTGTGGCGCTTTTGTTGTTGTTTGTTTGTTTTGTAACTTATTTGCAAATATAATGTTTTAAAAGCTACTTGGTTGGTTAAAATTCTCGGGATGTCTGTGTTTGAATAAACCATCCCCCGATACTAAAGGATTTACTTTTTAATTCTTTTCTTGATACAAAGTATGAACTTTACATTGCAAAAGTAAGCTTACAAAATGTAGGGGTTTGATTTCTGTTTCTTTTCACTTAACAGCAGGAAATTCTCTATCATTATCCGATGTCTGAAGTGTCTCAGAAACTGAAAAGCGTGAGAGGGATATTCCTCACCCTCTGTGACATGCTGGAGAATGTAACCGGGACACACGTTACTAGGTAATGACTGCTTTTTACTAAGCTTTAGCTTCGTTCTTCCAAACGCCTTTCTTTGCTTCTAACCAACAATATGCTAATATGAGGAAAATCATGTGTATGTCTATTATGTAGGACTTTGTACAGGCACATATCATTTTGCTTCTCATCTAAGTTATTTCTCCAAGTAAACTATGTAATTTAAATTGTATGTTCTTGTTATAGCTGTACATCTGGGCATTTTGCCATGCTGTAAGTCAAAGACAGGACTAATGACCTATATTTTAGAATTTCTTCATAAAGGTGTTATCTATAAAAGAATAGTATTTTTCTGAGTCTTGGCTTTTTCATTTTTGTTGTTGTTGTTGTTGTTGTTGTTCCTTGCTTAGTGGTTAGCAATTGCTAGGCAGTACCTTTATGTTTGGTAACTGAACACTGAATATTTATAGAGTTAGAAAATGCCCTGTTGTATTCAGCATGCAGTGTTAACTGCGCACTTTTATTCAGTGATGTACAGGCAGACCTTATCAATCTCACAGAACAAAGAAAA